CGTAACCAATCTGACAGTTATCACACACTCACACACACACTCACCACAACTCACCACACACTCACATCACTCTCTGCTCACACCACTCACACACTAACACACACAACACACACACACACACACTCAGAAACGACACTCACCACACTCTCTCTCACACACACATCCACACTCAGTAAGTGGCATGTTGTCGCAAAGCTGACTAACATGTAGCAGAATGCTGCTCCTGTGGGACTGTCAGGCCCTTTAATCACACACAACCCCCGGCACTCACACACACAACACACACACACACACATTTAAAAACATCTGCACGTGTGTGTGAGAGACACTCAGGAAGTTGTGTTAGCTCATTTGCTGGCGTTGAACTTCATATCAGTCCGTCAAATCAGAAAAAATTACACAACGCACCTTTAAAACCCAGAGCGAGAAAACAAATCACGTTATGTTTAATTTGTTGTTATAAATCCAATAAATATTTATCAGTTTATTTAAAATGAACAGTTCATTAAACAAACAAATAAAAACATTTATCCATATTTTCTGATCCAAACACCTTTTCACTGACTAAGCCCCGCCCCCTTTCTGCTCTGAGCTCCAATCACAGTTGAGCAAGCCTTGAACTATTAACTTCCCTTAATAGTTTATCAGTTTATTAATTATTTGCTTATTAATCATCTCTGTGTGTGACTGTGTAATCAGGTCATTATTAATCAATGATCCTGAATCGATCGTCATCAGGTCAAAGCAACAGTGGCTGTCCTGCTGGTTTCGAGGGAGCCAATGGAACGCAGTGTACCGGTGAGTTTCCCCCACAGAGGGCAGGTGAAAGGTCAGAAGTCACAGAGGGCAGGTGAAAGGTCAGAGGTCACAGAGGGGAGGAGTTCTCTGGTTCTGGAGACGAGTTCTTAAAAAGGTTTCAGCCGTTCGTGCTCACTCGTTTCCACAGGAGGACAGAACAGATAATAAACTGTCTGTTTACACCTGGTGTCAACATACGTATCCAGTGGCCACACTGAACCACTTATAGCCCGAAGAACACGAAGAAATACATAAATTAATTTACAACGTTAGCCGAATTTACAAGAAGGCCCAATTACTGAAGAATTTGTCGTAGACAGCATTTCATAAAGTTTATAAAGTTTCTGCTCACTCAATAACTCATAAAATTGTGTGATTTTTAAAGGGAGTCTGGGGACTTTGTCCAGAAGTAGCCTATATTAGTTACTGTTGTCTGTATTTGTAAAATTTGAGCTGTTTACTGTCAGTAAAATGTGTAAAATTACAGTAAAATCAGTTGAAACAGTGCGTCCAAACAACTAGCTGCTTAATGTTAGCAGGTAAGATGCAGTGAGTAGCCATCGGTACAGCGATGCAGCAACAAGCTGACACAATATTTGTTATAAGGAAAGAAACAACTTTATATATTTAATGTAAGGCCGAATTTACAAGAAGTTGTCGTAGACAGAGTTTCACAAAGTTTATAAAGCTTCTCCTCACTCAACAACTCTTAAAATTGTGCGATTTTTAAAGGG